TGGAAGAAAGATATTGTATAAGCAGAAAGTGGAGGTAGGTTGGTGAAGGAGCATAAAGCAGTTGCCACAATGTTTGAAGTACAACTGGTACTCCTTGCTTTTTAATATCATTCTGTTTTAAATAGTTTTATATTTTACCAGCAAGGCTTTCAAGAAGCTTTTTATTTAATGAGTAATGCAAAATACATATTCTTAAGTTGATCAGTCAGGGGAAAATAAATGGGAAAAGAACTGCAGAATGGAGAAGAGCTTATTAGCTGAAGAACCTTGGATACTTCTTCTTCTTCTTCTTCTTCTTCTTCTTCTTCTTATTATTATTGTTGTTGTTGTTGTTGTTGTTGTTGTTGTTGTTGTTGTTGTTGTTGTTGTTGTTATTGTTATTGTTATTGTTATTATTATTATTATTATTATTAGTAGTAGTAGTAGTAGTAGTAGTAGTAGTAGTAGTAGTAGTAGTAGTAATTAAATTTATATCCCACCCATTTAGACCAGCTAACAACGGTATTAAAATTAAAAAAACAACAACAATATTACTACACTAGAGGGTGGCAAAATAAGTTAGGTATCAACAGGAGGGAAGGCCTGTCTGAAGAGCCAGGTCTTAAGTTGGCTCTTAAAAATGCCCAGCGAGGGAGCCAGATAAATTTCTGGGGGGAAATTGTTCCAGAGCTGAGGAAACATAAAACAAGCCCCTTGTTTTGAACCAGTGGTTATATTTTTTGATCAAGAATCCCTCAGGAATCAAGGGAATCTCCCGGGACATGTGGAATATATTCCTAATTTTTACTCAGGTCATTGGGCAATTACAGCGAGGACGAGGCTTGGCCCTTTGTGGAATGGGAGTTGGAGCTGCGGAAGTAGCATCTGAAGTATTTCCATAATGATATGGAACCTCTGGGAGGAGGAGGACAATGCTTATTTTTCTAAAAAATGGAGCTGAGGACACTCAAACAACCTGCAACCATTTCCACCAAATGCTGCTTCAGGCAGCTAATAGCAATCAAATACGAAATAATCTACACAAGGCAGGAAAAATACATCACTCATAATTTCAAAAGCCCATAGTGTGGTTTAATAAAGTAATGTAATATGTACTGCAAAAGTTACTTCAACCTGTTTACCTTGATGTAGTCTGTTCCTTATATTCTTAGAACTGAAACCACTTACTTAGGGAAGGAACACTTAGCCTTATTCAGACACTATAGCCTGAATGTAGGAAGGGCTCTAACTATGGTGCAAAGAGATGTATATTGCACCCCACCCACAATATCCCTTCTCTGCCTGGATATCAATCAGACTTTCACATGTTTAGCACAAAAGTCTGCATTTAGCTGAATGCGCTTATCATGCTCCCTCTCTGATAAGGCAGGACTCCTGATAGTGGGAATCCTGTAAGTGTACTCAACTGAACACCTTTAAAAGCTCCTGCTTCTCTTCAGACCTTTTGGGCTGAACATCCAGAAGTTGAGAGTGAGATAGGGACATGGGTACGGAGCTCATGTGCATGTCCCCCCTCTTCCACCACAATTAGAAGTCCCCATATTTTTAGGCATAATTTCTGAGTAGGATTATAGAATTGGGTATAATCCACATACTGGTGACTCCAAACTCCAGATAATTTCCCCAGTATGTTCATGTGTACATTAAACAGCATGAGGAACAAGACAGAACTCTAAGGGAACTCACAGGCTTGTGGCCAGAATGTTGAACAGGAGTCCTCCAGCACCTGTTTGGCCTCCACGGGAAGGACTTGATCCACTACATAACAGTACTTCCCAATCCCAATCCACCTAGTCACACCTCTTTGATGCCCATACAGTGCTGAAAACCAAGGGGTCCAGCAAAAGCAGCAGAGACACACCCCTTCTGTCCAGCATCCAAAGTAGTGCATCAATTTACTCCATATTATATTGTCATACCTCCTAATGTCACTAAAATAATGCCACTGAAATCAATGTCACATTTTATGTAATTACTGTACCTTAATGCAAGAAATGCAATGTGCATACTGGAAACCTAGAAGAGGTTTTTTTTAAATGAATGGCTACTTTACCTGGAACAGGTAAGCCATCTGTTGCAAGCCATTTCCATTTATTGGTATCCTTCACTACCAGCCACTAGGTGGTAATGTTTGATCATTTATTTCATGCTGTGGGGTAGTTCAAGAATATATATATATATACTGTAGTTCAACACCATTTCTATTTTACCAGCAGGTTTGATTTTTGCTCTGTGGAGATTATCTGCTGATAGTTTAAAAAAATCAGACATGTGCCATTCATTAAGCCTTCTGTCCCATTATGAAGATCCGGATTTTGTTTATTCATTTGCTGCTGCAGTCCTAAACGTGTACCTCTGAAACACTGCTTTCAATTTTGGTGAGATTTGCTTCTATATTAACACACAATTGCTAGAATCCTACTACTGGTGCCCAGCAGCAGAAGTCTACTGGTGTAAATCTCAGCAGTAAATTGTTACTAATCAAGGAGATGGATTGTATTTCTTGTCATATTTGCATGTTTTTGGCACATGACAGGAAATGTAAATACCGACTTCTTATTAAAAAAAAGTTGCCACTGCAATTTAAACAGGTGGACGTATGCTGGTGTAATTATTCAGTTGGATTCCATCCACAGTTCTGTTGCATCAAAGTAATTGTATGTCTGTCTTTCAAGGCTCTTTCAGAGAGGAACAATCTTTTCTAAGTAACAGATGTTCAAACTTTGGAGCTAGTCCTTGTTGTTTTCAATGGTAATGAAGATATCAATGAAAGGAATGGCTTTTTGTGGTGTTACTATATGTAAATATGATTGTGAGACAAACAGAGTTGGTATATTTTACACTTTTCTGAGCTGGCTGAATAGCTCAATGGTTAACATAGCCAGATGTTGGGAGTTCAATTCCGCACTGCGCCTCCTGCAAGTACTGTACAGCCAGCCTTGGGCAAGCTGCACAAGTCCAGGTGCCCCCAGAAGGGAGTGGTAAATCACTTCTGAGTATTTTCCACCTGAAAAACCCTAGAAAGGGTTGCCACAAGTCAGAATTGACTTGATGGCACATTATTATTATTAAACATGCCTTGCCTTTCATCCACACCATAAAGATGTATCATCAGTATATTGTCACGATGTCAGCAATGTGTACTAGCTTCTTTCATGATGTATCTTTCAGGGTGCCTGTGAACAGATTTACTTAAGGAGCTATTTGAGTGCCCTTTTCTGTACTTTGCAGTTCTAAGCAGTGTTCTTCATTAAATATAAAAATTATTACAAATTAGGACTAACATTGCCAAACTGGTAAAAACCTTTATGGGAGGATCTTTAGAATTCCTTGTTGTTGTTATTGTTGTCGTGTCCGACTCTTCGCGACCCCATGGACCAGATACGCCAGGCTCTCCTGTCTTCCACTGCCTCCCAGAGTTTGGTCAAATTCACGTTGGTCGCTTCGATGACACTGTCCAACCATCTCATCCTCTGTCGTCCCCTTCTCCTCTTGCCTTCACACTTTAGTCACATCAGCGTCTTTTCCAGGGAGTCTTCTCTTCTCATGAGATGGCCAAAGTATTGGAGCCTGAGCTTCAGGATCTGTCCTTCCAGTGAGCACTCAGGGTTGATTTCCTTTAGAATTTAGAATTCCTAGGGTTAGGAAATTATACAGTATTTATTTACAGTACTGTATAAAGCTTGAATCCTATCATGATGTGATATTTTGGAAAAAGAAATGTGTCATCCAGTGTAATTAGTATGGTATCCTTATCAAATTGATGCTGTTCATTTACAGAAAATTATAAGCAAGAAATAATTGGTGTATTTGATATATGATGGCATATATACACCAATAATTGGTGTATTTGATTTAAGATTCCCCAAGAGGATGATTTTTACCATATTTCATAAATTTAAGTCAATATATAGAGATCATCTTAGTAGCTGTGTTGTTAGCTGAAACAATAGGATCCTGGTTTGTTGACTTGTGTGTATGTACAAATACGTACTGTATGCTTATATGTATACATACATATGTATATACTGTATACATATACATATAAGGGAAATCCTTATCACAAGAGGCCAGGCAGGCCCCACCTTTGCTGTCCTTCCATTAGTAACTGGCTGCCTGAGTGGAATTGTTAAATAGATTGTTGTGCCTCACTGCTTTGAATATGTTTTTGGTGTTGTTTTTGTTTACCCTGTTGCAGTGTAGTGTGACTAAATAAATAAAATAAATAAATAAATAAATAAATAAATATCACCTCTCCAGTATTGTGGTGTATGTGTTTCTTTTGAAAGCATGATCCTTAAAATCATCCCTAAAAGAACTTTATTTTAAACTGATATTCCATTTAATGCTTCTTGCTTGCAGCTGCCACCTATCAAGCAATCCTGTCCTGGTATCTTTAAAAATCCCCTATCGTATTTATCTGTAATAAATAAATAAATAAATAAATATCACCTCTCCAGTATTGTGGTGTATGTGTTTCTTTTGAAAGCATGATCCTTAAAATCATCCCTAAAAGAACTTTATTTTAAACTGATATTCCATTTAATGCTTCTTGCTTGCAGCTGCCACCTATCAAGCAATCCTGTCCTGGTATCTTTAAAAATCCCCTATCGTATTTATCTGTAAAAGTGATAAGTTATTTTGTTTTCTTTTCTTTTCTGGGAAAAGGCCTCGGAACCCAACTGCCATTTTACAAGTACATGCACTGCCTAGAATAAATGTATTGTTCTAGATATTATTAAACTTATAATTTACAACGCTGACGGAGAGGTCCTTGCGGGCAATACACACTAGAGAGCGAAAAAAACGGAACGCGAAGCGGCAATGTGGGCACTGCCCTGATCCAAGATGGTCGCCGCAGAACCACGACACTTCAAGACGGGTCACCTGTTGAATGGGGAACCGAGGTTTTTGATTGGTTCGTGCTCGGACCTCCAGTCGTCGAGCGTTCAGCCTCAGCCGTGAGGGGGAAAGAGTTAACTGGAGCCGGCCCGGGGGGGGGAGGGGAGGGGGTGACGCTGCCTCACTCCCGTGTCTTGTCTGTTGCTTCCTCGCTCAACGCCTCAGCCGGGCCAGAGAGCCAGGGCGCTCCGGGCGGGTCGAGTTACCACCCCCGTCTCCTCCCCCTCAGCCCGGCATGGAGGAACGGGGGGGCGGCAGGAAGAGACTGGAGAGGCGCTGCGAAGGCGAAGAGCGTGAAAGGGCAGCGACCACCGCGGCAGAGGAAGCGGCGGCGACGACAGCCGTTACGACACCCCAAGGCAGGAAGGAGGCTGAGGAGGAGCTTCAGGACCTGGACTGGAGCTTCGTCGACATGGAGACGACGATGTCGCTGCACGACCTGCCCAACGCGCTTATCGCTTGCAACCTGCCTTTGGCCGTCTTCTTCGCCGATGGGCCCTGCAGGGTGGGTGAGAGCCAAGCGGGCGGCCGGGGGTGGTGGTGGTGGCAGGGCCTGGTAAGCGGGTGGGGGGCGGTTATGGGGGGGGGGGAAGGGGGGGCAAACGCACGGCGAA